TTATAGCCATTTTACTCATACCACAATAATGGAAAACTTAACTAACAACGTTCAAGGCACATTAATCACAAGAATTCCACAAATAGTCCACATAAGTAACACATACCAATTACTCGTACACCAACAAGGTGACTTTACAAAGGCTAAAGTTAGCCATACATACCTGGAGTCGAATTCCCTTTTTAACTTCTACTTTCAATTCACCAACAGCCTAGTACCGTCAATCTAGTTCACAAGTTAGCACATATAACTTAGAATTGAAGTTCACAAACTCAGCCCCAACTTACTTAGGTTTCCAACCCCTCTTTTACAAATCTTTAGTTCTACCCAATTCCTCTTAATAGATTCTAGGTTTTAAAGGACATGCATGTGTATCTCAACTTCCATTTTTAAGAATTAACGCATGAGAGTCCCCCTTTTTGTTTAAATCTGAAAACAATGAAAAAGGGTTGGGGATTTTACCTTCAAGAACGGAGATGAAGACAATTACTTGAAATTCCCCGGCCCGAGTGACTTTGAAAAATCAAATTGATGGAGACAAGCCTTTCTCTCTCAAGAATTCTCTCTTCCCTCTCTCTAGTTTTGTTCAGAAAATAAGTTAAAAAAAGGGGCTGGAGTGTTTTATTGAAAAAGGGGTCGGATTTAAAATTTATAAAATTTGAGCCCGGGTTAGGTAGAGTGGAAATGCGGTCCGCAGAATGGACCGCAAAAGTGCTCCAAAAATCTGAACACACTGCCTGGGTATGCGACAGAAATGCGGTCCGCGTACTCGTTCTGCGGTCGCATAATGCACCGCATAACTGCCCCTCACAAAAATCCCAATGGAAATATGTGACGACTATGCGGTTCGCATATCGGTTATGCGATCGCATATCAGGTCGCAGATTTAACCCCCAATTTGACCAACACACTAACTCACTTTGCGGAGATTGTGCGGTTCGCATACCTGATATGCGACCGCATTCTCGACCGCTGAATCGCATTTTCTGGAAAACAATATTTCTTGACTTTTTATAGCATAGATTAGTACAAAAGGTCCAAACTACCGGGTTTTGAGTACAAGTTTTCATGGGGCCTTACATCCTCCCCCACTTAAAATCATTCGTCCTCGAATGAGGATTTTGGAAATCGGTTGGTTTTGAAAACATGAAATGTAAACTCCTTTTTTGAAATATTTTGCCAGAGTTTCCTTTGTAATTAAACTTATCTACCTATAAGAGAGCCCCCAAAACATTATTTCCAAGCACCATTACGCTATCCCTATTACCCCTGCAACTGGTATACAATTCATTACCTCAACACCTGCACATAATTTGGCCACTTCAATACACTATACGCATTTCAATTAATCATTACCAATCTACACTACCTTTAATCATTCACTTATCACATGAGTTCTTACAAAACTTTCACTTACCAAAAAGGGGCTTGCGCATGACTCAATTAATCACAACACATACAATTCTTGCACAACGTGAGGAGTTACAATAGTAAAGCATTTAGGAAAAATATGGGGTGTATTTGCACCAGATTGAACACAACATCAATTTACTTAGAGACAAGAGTTCGCACGATCACTACTAGACTTGTTCAAACAGATGGGGATATTTTTCTTTCATTTCACTTTCCGCTTCCCACGTGGCTTCCTCGACTTGTTGACTTTGCCAGAGCACTTTAACTGAAGCAACTTCCTTGTTTCTCAATTTGCGGACTTGCCTATCAAGAATAGCGACCGGAATTTCTTCATATGATAACTCTTCATTGACCTCGATAGCCTCGATTGGCACGATGGTGGATGGGTCTCCAATCACTTTCTTTAACATAGACACATGGAACACTGGGTGCACTAGTGACATTTCAGGGGGTAATTCCAGTCTATAGGCCACATGTCCTATCCTTTGAGTGACCCGATACGGCCCGACATATCTAGGACTCAACTTCCCTTTCTTCCCAAATCGCATGACTCCCTTCATAAGAGATACCCTCAAGAACACCCAATCATCTACTTGGAATTCCAATTTCCTTCGACGAATGTCCGCATAAGATTTCTGGCGACTCTAAGCAGCTTTCAGCCTTTCCTGAATGATTTTAACTTTTTCCATAGCCTGGTGCACTAGATCTGGCCCTAACAATTCTGCTTCACCCACTTCGAACCATCCAATCGGAGACCTACATCTCCTCCCGTACAATGCCTCAAATGGGGCCATCTGAATTCTAACATGGAAGCTGTTATTGTAAGCAAAATCTATAAGTGGCAAGTGATCATCCCAATTACCTTTAAAATCCAAGACACAAGCCCGTAACATATCTTCAAGCGTCTGAATAGTCCGCTCCGCTTGACCGTCAGTCTGGGGATGGAAAGCCGTGTTGAGATTCACCTGAGTACCCAAACCTTGCTGAAATTTCTTCCAAAAATTAGCTGTGAAATGGGCCCCTCGATTTGAGATAATAGAAAGTAGAGTGCCATGAAGTGTTACTATTTCCTTGATATATAGTTGAGCATATTGTTCCGCAATATCCATGGACTTGACTGGCAAGAAGTGAGCTGATTTGGTGAGTCGGTCCACTATTATCCAAATTGAGTCGAACTTGCGCTGAGTGCGAGGTAACCCTACCACGAAATCCATGTTGATCATCTCCCATTTCCACATTGGTATTTCCATAAGCTGAGTTAACCCACCGGGCCGCTGGTGCTCAGCTTTTACTAGCTGACAATTTGGACATTTAGATACAAAGTCCGCCACACCCCTCTTCATATCGTTCCACCAATAAATTTCCTTGAGATCACGGTACGTTTTCGTAGAACCTAGGTGCACAGAATACCTGGAATTATGAGCCTCCACCATTACCGTCCCCTGGAGATTATCCACTTCTGGAACACATAGCCTACCTTGACATCGTAATACACCATCCTCACCACTGAGTGAGAATGTCGAAGTATTGTTATTCAAAACTGCCTCTTTCATCTGTGCTAATGCTGGATCAATGAGCTGCTTTTCCTTGACTTCCGCTACCAGTGACGATTCTGCTCCATTACGCACCATAACCTTCCCCTTGTCTGAGGTCGAAATACGAACCCCCAGACTGGCCAATTGATAAACCTTTCGAGCCAAAGGCCTATGATCCGCTCCCAAATGAGCCAAACTACCCAGGGACTTCCGACTGAGAGCGTCGGCCACCACATTCACCTTCCCTGGATGGTATAAAATATCCATATCATAATCCTTGATCAATTCTAACCACCGCCGCTGCCTTAAATTCAACTCTTTCTGCTTGAACAAATATTGAAGACTCTTGTGGTCCGAGAACACATCCACATGGACCCCATAAAGATAATGCCGCCATATTTTCAAGGCAAATACAACTGCCGCAAGCTCCAAATCATGCGTCGGATAATTCTTCTCGTGATTCTTGAGTTGCCTTGAAGCATATGCTATAACCTTCCCATGTTGCATCAACACACACCTCAAACCGACCCTAGAGGCATCGCAATAAACCACAAATCCTTCCGTGCCTTCCGACAAGGTCAATATCGGTGCCGAGGTCAATCTCGACTTCAATTCCTGAAAACTTTTCTCACAAACGTCGGACCTTTGGAACTTAACTGCTTTTTGCGTCAACTTAGTCAAAGGGGAGGTGAGGGTAGAGAATCCCTCCATAAACCTCCGATAATACCCCGCTAAACCCAAGAAGCTACGGATCTCCATCGGGGTCGTGGGTATAGGCCAATCTTTTACTACTGCAATCTTCTGGGGATCCACCTGAATCCCTTCACTGGAAACAACATGGCCCAGAAAGGTAACGGACTCTAACCAAATTTCACATTTTGAAAATTTAGCATACAACTATTGCTGATAAAGGGTCTGCAGAACTGCCCTAAGGTGATCGGCATGATCCTCCTGGCTCCACGAATAAATAAGGATGTCATCAATGAAAACAATCACAAAGGAGTCTAGAAATGGCTTGAAGACCCGATTCATAAGATCCATGAAAGCTGCCAGGGTGTTGGTTAGCCCAAAAGACGTGACCAAGAATTCAAAGTTCCCATAGCGAGTTCTAAAAGCGGTCTTAGGAATATCCTGTTCTCTGATCTTCAATTGGTGATACCCGGACCATATATCAATTTTGGAAAAGAACCTCGCACCTTGCAATTGGTCGAACAAATCATCTATCCGAGGCAAAGGATATTTATTCTTGATGGTGACCTTGTTAAGTTGTCGATAATCAATACACCTCTGGAGTGACCCATCCTTCTTTGTGACAAAAAGAACCGGGGCACCCCATGGTGACACACTTGGCCGTATGAACCCCTTTTCTAATAAATCCTTCAGCTGTTCCTTTAACTCCCTCAACTCCGCTGGCTCCATTCGGTATGGTGGAATAGATATCGGTCGTGTATCTGGCAATACATCAATCCCGAAATCAATCTCCCTATCTGGCGGGATCCCTGGAAGCTCGTCCGGAAACACTTCAAGAAACTCATTCACGATTGGCACGGACTCGGGAATAGACACTTCTGAAGTGGTGTCCTCCACCCGGACCAAATGGTAGATACACCCCTTCCTAATCATCTTTGAAGCCTTAAGGTAGGAAATAAACCTACCTTTCGGCACCACATCATTTCCCTTCCACTCAATAATCGGCTCATTAGGGAACTCAAGCCTCATGACTCTCATTCGGCAGTCAAGTTTAGCAAAGCACGAATAAAGCCGGTCCATTCCCATAATCACATCAAAATCCACTATTTCAAGCTCAATAAGATCGGCCGTGGTAGCACGACCACATACCATGACAACGCAATTCCTATAAACTCGTGTGGTTGTAATAGAATCACTAACCGGAGTTGATACAGAGAACGACTCGTGAAGTTATTCGGGTTCTACCTCAAAACTTAAAGCAATGAATGGGGTGACATAAGACAAAGAGGACCCCGGATCAATAAGAGCATAACAATCAATGGCCTGAACAGACAAGATACTTGTAGCAACATTTGGGGAGGCCTATGCACTATGGCGACCACTCAAGGCGTAAAACCGGCTGGATACACCTCTACCACGAGCTCCACCCCTAACTACCCCGCGCCCTGCTGGGGCTGGAGGACGCACGGATGATGTGGCAGCTGAAGAACTAGATGACTGAGCAAATCCCCCACCCATGCCCTGACTGGGCGCACGGCAGTCCCGCTGGATATGATCTCTCGCCCCGCATCTATAACACACCAGAATGTCCAAATAACAAGTCTCGGAATGGACCCTCCCACACTTGGGGCATGAAGCCCTCCCCTGCTGCAGTGATCTCCCTCTGGGACGACCGGAATGATGGGGTCTCCTACTGTCTGAACCTGATCTCAAGTGACTGCCCTGCTGATAACTGTGCATCGATGGCAGTGCGCTTGCTGAGAACTGGGCATATGACTGGGACGGCCCGGATGGCCCTCTCCCCGGAACTGGTCTCCCTGAATGACCCGCTGATCGAGCCCTGCTGCTACTCTCCCTTTCTGCCCGTATTTTCAACTTCCTAGCCTCTGTGGCCTGAGCG